AGCGGGGCCGACCCGAGCCGGACGGGGCAGAGCCGAGCGGGACGCGAGCCGAGCAGCACCATGCTGGGCATGATCAAGAACTCCCTGCTGAGCACGGTAGAGGCATGGCCCAACCGCGTGCTGAGCAAGGGGGAGAAGGTCTGTAGCGGGGCGCGCGGACCGCGGCGGCGGATAATGCGCTGTGCGGAGGAACGCGGGTGTCCGTGCGGCGCCTTCCGCCCGGCAGCGTCTACATCCCTGTGTCCTTCCTCAGGAGCAGGTCAGCTACGAGGAGAGGGAGTGCGAGGGCGGGCGGTTTGCGGCGGGGGAGGTGGTGGGAAAGCCGTTCGACGAAGCCTCGAAGGAAGGGGCAGTCAAGCTCCTCAAGTACGTCGGAGGAAGCAACGATAAGGGTGAGAGATGCTGCCTGTCCCTTGGGGCTTGGCAGATGTTTGTGGTTGAGGCTTGGTGAAAGCAGGATGGATGGAAGCAATGGCAGTGTGGCTCCACCACACTTGTGGATCTAAGCACTAGGATGAGGATGGCCCCTCACTGGGAAAAATAAACTTGCCACAGGTTAAATCATGCCCAGTCAACTCATGCTATGAGTCCACTCATAACCCATTTCTGTTTTAGGTTAACATCTCAAAAATTACCTGTTTAAGCAGAAATGGGTTACCTTGGAGCTGGAATACTATGAGGACAGGCAGACATATCTATCACAGCTCCCTGGGTGAACAGTAGCTGATGAAATCAAGGGTTTTTGGGGCACTTTGGTTCTATGATATGCCCTGGTAGGCAGTGAAATAACTGTTATGACCTTGATATTTTAGCATATATTCTGGCTATTTTTATTCATGAAAGGGTAGTGAACAATGAGCTTGCTTTTTAATGGTATTTTGCTATGTTTTATAACAGTTCATTGAGGTGATGGCTTCTAATTCTCAGTTTTTAAAAGTATATGCATTGGTAATTGTTCATAGCCAGAGGAGAAGACTACAGAGTGGTTCTGAGACATATACATGTGCTCACACACCTTTCTACAGCATCTGGTAGAGGGACTGGTATAGTCTCTGTGGGAGTAGGAGCTGGATGCAGTGGGGAATGGCATTTACAGCAGCATGTTTTGGACAGGTGGTGATTGCTGTTGCTGTAGTAGAATGGGTGCCTTCTATAACATATGACACAGACACAGATATGGTATCAAAGAAAAATAAATGAGAAAGATGGCTTGATCTCAGCTGGTGTTGTGGCTGCATGATCCTGAGGTTTGGAGGTTCCTCACTGCTGCAAGAAGCATGAAGAAATACGGTCTTCAGTGCCATGTAGTACCTCTTGGCAGTAATGAGTGGGGAAAAAACTATGATGTTCCTGGAGTGTGGACAGC